ACGTTTTAAAAAGAGAAATTTTAAAAATGAGGTTTTTAAACAAATAAACTATTGATATTTTTAAATAAATATTTTTAAGACTAACACAAATTATATTGATGAATTTATATGGATATATGTTTTCACCCAATTTTTATATTTTCTTTTGTTTCAGAGGCCGATTATTTTACTTTTTGAAAAAATATATACGAACTATAGATACAAAAGGAATACTTGTGATAACAGCTTTCATTTGATATCTATTATGATATGGTAAAACAAAAAACAAAACACCAAATTTGCGTGTGGTTCTTTGTATTTCTTTTTGATTTACCCCCTAAAGATCATACCCACATTAAACAATTATCCCCAACTTTCCCAGATTTTTACTACGTTGTACATGAAACAGGAGGCATCATTTTTGTTGCAGTGTGTGGTGAGTTTGGTGGCATGTGACACTATATTGACCTGAAATGTAGACACTAAAGACTGGGAGCTCCTGGAAAATTGCTCACGGGTTAGCACAGAAATCGATATGTAAAGAACTAAATTGCGAAATCAGTAAATGACCACGCAATAATCAATGGACTATATTACACTCCGTTTTAGGTTAACAATCAAAGAGAGAGAGAGAGAGAGAGAGAGAGAGAGAGAGAGAGAGAGAGAGAGATTCCCTGAATATACCCTTACAGAATAAGAATATCCGCCCACGTGATTTTCTTGTCTCAGTGAAGTGGTTTAAATATAATGGTGACAATCAGGAGACACAGCGTACTGTGTTTTCAATGTAGGGCTTTCATCGGTAGAATCGATATCTGCAACTTGCAACCGATACGTCTCAATACCAAATAACACACATTTGTTAAAAAAGTACAGCCGCTCTAGTGTCCGACATAGGAGTCCATGTTTCATTCACCGGTGACCCTGTCGTCTGAGTCCCCGGAATTCCCTGAACACAACAGCGTCCCTCAGGCGTGCTGGAATAAAACTTGTTTAGTACAGACCTCAGCTATGTACCTGTCTTAGCACATCGTCAAATGGTGTGTTGATAAGTGCACGTCATCATATTGCATCCGAATCCCGGTATATTGGGGCTTGAGATTCCGGACTCCAGGAAACTATATCTGTTGTAGCAACGGTATGACTGCTTGTGTATCACCGTACCCGTACAGATTACCGTTGCTCTTGTTATAACTTATGTTCTGAACCTTCCAAACAATAATCGTTCGCAAGACGTGGTTTCCAGACTAATGCTCGTCAGGCCGTTTTTACGGGTTGTTCTGTTACTGGGTGGTCAGGTCGAAACTTAGTTTCGCTATTTAATAATAATGGTGCGATTTTGACCTTGTACTGACTACGTTTTGCTGTTACTGAGCTATATTTATTGACTAAGGCGTTATATTTTATATAAAAGCCCTTTTCCTAATAATCTTTGAATAACCATTTTCCGGGATTGCCTAGTTCATGTTAAGTACATTTTTATGGTTGAGAGTCAAGTTACTCTTGAGATCAAGTACCATTTGTTGTCGAGAGCCTAGATACTCTATAGGTTAAGTATGCAGGCGCATTTGCTTCTCTCAATTGTTCAAGAGACATGTTTTTTTTTCCCAGGGGACCGACCCCTTAAGCCCCAGATTTAAATAATCTATTGTGACAAAGGATTAGTGCATGGGGTCATATAACACCTCTCAACGAATTATTTACAATGAACCTTTCTCATATCTATTTGCGGTCACAATAAACCTTTCCATCATTTGAAAATGGCAAATGCGCAGACAAATGTAAGATTTCTTCCTACCAGGAGAGGGGGATGATATACTGAACCGCAAAAGAAATGTCACCATGGACAGATAGATGAGCAACCTTATTTGTCCAAACACTGTAAACATACTTTGAGACATATTGAAACGATGAAACTTGGCAAAAATGATCATCAAGGTTGAAATTAAAGTGTCAAATGTTCTTAAAGTGAAACACAACACTAGTCGCTAAACAAATGGCATCATAAGTCAGTATCTCGTGTGTCCGCCATGTGCATTGATGGCTGCCGTGCAACGTCGCTACATGGAATGGATGAGGTGTTTGATGAAGGCCATATATGCACTTGAGCCCACACTCTGAGGAACGCCTGACGCAGTTCAGCTGCAGTTGTCGGCCTTTGTCGGACGTCATTCAGCCGTCTTTGAATCTCGTCCCACAGGTGCTCAATGGGATTTAAACCGGGACTGAGGGCAGGCCACTGCATGGTTCTGATGCCATTCTGCTGGAGGTAGTCACTTGTTGCTCTCGCAGTGTGGGCACGGGCGTTATCATGCTGAAACACGTGGTTGCGGCGACGTGCCAAATGAGGTATGGTGTGTTGTCGCAAGACTTGATCGATGTACCGAGCTGCTGTGACACAATTGCCTCTCCCAGGACCGATGTTCTGGAAAACTTTGTCGACGAATTTATGGACAATGTTTAAATGGCATAAAGAAGTGTGATATGTCCCCTGTCACCAAGCCTCCTTGTGAGTTTGTACAAAGAAGCTCTACACGGTTGAAGGATTACAGAGGGTGGGGTCGTGGGAATGAATAACCACTTCAGCGAGACAATTTGAAGGATCAAGAATCCAGCGGACACTGACAATGATCACTGATTAATAAACTATGTACAACTATACAAGCTGTAGCGAAGACACTATATAACCGCTATTACAAGGGTAGCTAAAACATACTTCCGACCAGCAATCGACAAAACGCACAGACAGCCAATTAAGCCGCCTATGACCAATTAATAATTATTACATGCTTGTCGGTGAATAACCTCGGCTTGGTTAGAGGCCGTACCCCTACAAAGTGATAATTACTACATATAGCTGATAATGAGAAAACTGTGAAGTTACACTCTTCAAAAAAAGAAACGCACAGAAAGGTTCATTGAAACTGACTACACAAAAAAATCCGGTATATAAATTGGATATATTTTTACTGGAAAATGTTGGTGGCCTGATATTCGACAAACGCTGCGTCAAAACGCAGCCATTGTCGATTTGCAATGTCTAAAATGGCATTGTTTTCACACTTGTTCAAAAATGTCATGGACAGTAAAGCGAAATGCACGTGAAATTTATGGCATTCGTAACTCTCGGTAGTGGCTATAAAAAGGCAAGCATAAGCCAATAATTTGTCAATCACTTGTCAATCGGAACATCGCCATTGGACGTTTCCAAAGAGGGGATTCGCAGTCTTCTGTTGGACGCCACTATAACGTCAACCATAGCCCCGTTTGCCGCCTTTGTGACCGATACATACAGTTCAATTCCACTGCCGACATTCGAGAACTGGCCGACCAAGAGTTACAACCCTTGCAAAGGATCGCTACATTCGACTGTTCCACCTACGTCATCGCAATGCCGGACGCATCCCTGGTTTGAGGAGAATGTCGGACCAGACTGTCAGGAACCATCTTCGCGAGGCTGGAATCCGACCCAGAAGACCAGTTATCGTCCCTGTTTTGCAACAGATCCATCGACAGCAACGTTTGCGCTGGTGCCTTACCTTACAGACTTGGAATTTGAGAAACTGGAGACGAGTGTTGTTTAGCGATGAATTACGATTTCTTCTTCACCGGAGACATGGGAGACAACGTGTTTATCGTCGTCGAAATGAGCGTTTTGCCCACATTGTGTAAGTGAATTCGACAAATTTGGTGGCGGTAGTGTTATGATGTGGGGGGCCATATCTTACTTGGTTGTGGTTCAGGGAAATCTGACAGCAAATCGCTACATAAAACAAATTCTTAGACCTCACCTTCTTCCAATCAGTGACTGCCAGAGGGAGTTGTTTCAACAGGACAACGCTGCACCGCACACAGCTCGTGTCACGGTAGACTACCTTCATAATGCCAACATCAACAATGTGCCCTGGCAGTCGAGATCTCCAGATCTCAACCCAATCGATTACCTCTGGGATGAACTCTATCGACGTGTACGTCAACGTCAGAGCACGCCGCAGAGATTCCACACCTGGCCAACGCGTTACATGCAGAATTCCGCAGGACAGAATTCGTACTCTTATCCAGTCTGTGCCGAGGGAATGCAGAGCCGTGATTGTTGCCCGGGGCGGTCACACGAGATACTGAGTTCAGCGCAACCTTGTGGCCTTATGTGGCATGACAATGAACAGTTGTCAATGCCAGTGTACAACAACATGTGACTATCGAGCTCCAAAATTGCATATTTGTATCTATGATATTAAATTAAATATATCGACTTTATTAGGTACAATAAATTTACTAAATATCTACCTGTGCGTTTCTTTTTTTGAAGAGTATATACCAGGTTTCCTATTATTACTTAATTTAAAGACACCCTGGTCTCAGAGCACAGCTCCGCGACAATGCATAAATTTATTTGTATTCGCTCACCTGCAATAATATCGTGTTTCATTGTTTTGCTGCGAACTTCTCAAACTGCTTACATAATGGTTTAGTTGTTGTTGTTTTTTGTTTTACGCTGCACTTGGCAATATTCCAGCCATATGACGGCGGTCTGTAAATAATCGAGTCTGGACCAGACAATCCAGTGATTGACTTCATGAGCATCGATCTACGCAATTGAGATACGATATGCATTAACCAAGTCAGCGAGCCTGACGGAGCCTGACCAACCGATCCCGTTAGTTTTCTTTTACGACAAGCATCGTCGCCCCTTTTGGCAAGCATTTCTTGCCGAAGATTTATTTTCTACCCAGGTCTTTACGGGTCACATGGTTCGTGTATTCATTTAACATTGTTACGTTGTTGTTTTGGAGACTGGTTTACCTCGTAGTAAGCAATACTTCAACTGTATGAAGACAGTCTGTTAGTAATGGTGGGCAGGGGAGGCCCAGAGGTGTGAGGAACTGTAATGATATATACAGAGTTGCCTCCCTTATCCGTCCCTGGATCCGCTGATCACCATCTCGACATGAATAAACAAGCATACCGACATTAAATACAATGCTTAATTTATTCAGAAATATTTTGAACTACCACCTCGGCTCACATCGAACATCAAAGTAAACTTGAAATTGCAACAGCGTTTTGCTGAAGCACTGTAGTTCTATATGTTTCAGCCGTTTTAAACGTCAACGGTCATATTGAAGATCCAGTCAGCATTGAAATTGAAATAGACTCTATTGATAAGAAATTGACGTCATGTGAAAGAAGTAACAATGATTTTTGCATCTGCAACAGTAAATGTAGCAGGTGACATGCGTATGTGTATTGTAAACTAGTTGTCGGCATACACTAACGTTGAATCTTCCCTTCAGTTCAGTGCCTTTGGTTCTAATTATTTTATAACAGATCCTGGTACAACAGACGGAGGTAACTCTGCACAGCGAAATGGAGACTCGACAAGTCGTGCCCGAATTGGAAGGCTTGACTGCCTCTCCTTGATGCTTACGTCAGGATGAGGATGCTAGTTGTCCTGGGGATACAGTGCCATGTCTTGATCTGGGCGACAGTACCCACAATATCCTCCACATACCACGTCAATGATGGCACCGTTCTGTTGCCGGGTTATCTTTGCTTTCAAAGCTGAGTGAAACCATGTAAGCTGAAGAAGAATAGGTTAGGCCTTGAAAAGAATAATAAAATTGATAATAAAAATATTCGAATAATAATGCGCAAGTGGCGCAGCCTTAATATTACCCCCCTCCTTGGATCAGTGTACACTCAAATACACTGACTCAACTCCCTCAACTAAAAACAAGCTATGAGTAATGTGACACTAGAAGGGTGTTCGTGATGTTATTTTCAAAATTTTCACGGTGAAGGTGTTAGTGATGTGACACTTGGTGGGTGTTAGAGATGTGCCAAAGGAGGGAGAGGGGGTGAGTTCGTGATGTGACACTGGGTGTGTGTTTGTGATGTGACACTGGATGGGTGTTAGAGATGTGACACAAGTCGGGTTAAAGCGTGCGTCTTTCATTCAAATTCAATCTCATCCCCAAGGGAGTAAGCTGTCCATGCTACCGTGTGAGGTGCTGAGGGGACGGCTCGGAGTCAGCATACTGTGTCTGGTATTCTGTTGAAATGCGGCATGGTATTTCAGTGGGCTAGCACAATAAAACCGGCATTAGTCAGGACAAGTACCAACAGAGACACGGCCAAGTACATGTACGTCGCTATGTAAGGGCAATGACCTTTCATTTCCCCACACCTTATATTGCTATTTGTATGTCAAGTTTATGCAGATAAAGAGATCTTTACGAAAACGTACAAATTTATGGATGACAACTTCTGGTTAATTGCATGCAACGATTTTTCGATGTAGATTCCTACACCATTATCAATCTGGAGTCACAGAAACCACGTGATAAGAGGTATATATGCGTGATATGTTGTGATAAGCAGTAGATTAAAACCGTTAATAAATATCTCTTTGTCCAAACTGCCTCAACAAAGATGGTTCAGTCAGTTACGCACAGAAAATGAAAATATCAGACTTTGGGACACTTGTACTGACTGTGTAGGGATCTGGTAAATAATCCATGTACGTCAGGCATATCGTGTAATTACCACAGAGGCATACCCACTCGCCCCACACATTATCTAATTTCTCGAGTATATAAGTTTTTCGCTTTAGTTTTATGGAGTGGAACTTGACAAGGTTGGCGGGTTTGTGTCACGGTGGGTGATTTGCAGGGTAGTGAAGAAGGCATGTAAAGGATGGACGGAGGAGGCGAGTCAGTAAATTCGTGCGAGAGGACGGAAGGCAGTGAATAAATGAATGTGTTGGTGAGAAAGTTGTCTGTAGCTGAATAGTGTATTCATCACGCCCACACATGGATTCGATATCCAGATACAACCATTGTCTGTACACCCAACATGATATATCGATATCAAATAGTCCATACATACACCGTCACTGAACTTCATCCCAGTGCCCAGTGTATTGATACGGAAGGTCCCAATCGGTCCACACGTAGCTTTGTTCGTATAACAGTCTGCAGCATTTCCGTACTTGATCTTCTTAACTCTCGTCCAGTTTGCAAACGTGTAGTCTGCCCTCACTACTGTCATCGTCTGAAGGATATAAAGGAAAGGTCATAGTCATTGAGATTAAACAACAGAAGATAATACAGGTATGCACTGATTGAAAGACACAAGCAGTAAAACATGAGGGGTGGGTGTGGGGGGTGGGTTGTGGTGGGGTGCGAAGTTCAGGCAGGGATTATATATATACATGCACAAAAGGTAAGCGCCACCCACCATTATTTGTGAGCTGTTACGTTTGGCACTTAATGATGACTATTATAACGAGATGTACGATTGTTATAAGCCGTATATGTAAACCTCATGTGATGCAAGAGTTGTCCCAAAGCAAGTTTATCTTGTGTTCCAAAAGAATATGAGCAGAAAAGAATTTTACCGAAGACCAGAAATTGAAGGATTAGAAAACATTGAAAAACTTTTTATGTCATGTAACTGTCATGATATCAGCAGACCATATCAGGTGTCACATAGACACCCTAGGGAGTGCAGAGTCAATTGCAAGACAGAAACGTCAGTAACGTGTGTATGATCCACGGACATTGACCACAGCTTCAACTCTACGCCTCATACTCATCACAAGTCGTTGAATGCTTCTCTGAGGAAAACGGATCCATTCGTCATGAAGTACGGCGAGATTTTGAACTGGGGGATCACGATGTCTGATTTTCCGACCAAGAATGCTCAATCGGATAAAGATCTGGACTACAGGCCGGCCAAGGAAGAGTGGCAATAGCTTCTTGATGCAAATAAGCCAAAACTGCCCGAGATCTGTGTGGTCTAGCATTGTCGTCCATGTAAACAGGTCTTGTCTGAAGAGGATGGTTGTCAAAATGAGGGACTGCCACTAGACGAAGACCGGCATCTTGGTATTGTTGGCCATTCAGGTTTCCACGAATTGTCACCAGCGGAAGTTTCCAGCCGAAGGAAACACAACCCCATATCATGACAGACCCCCCGCCACATGCTAAGGTCTTCTGGATGTTCCTTGGTGCAAAACGAGTGTTACGTTGCCTCCAAACACGTATTCGACCATCAGCAGTTCGTAGCAGCATTCGACACTCGTAAGACCAATGGTTCCTTCTCCAGTTGGCCAAGTTCCATCGACTACGGGCACGACACCATATCAGACGATTCCGAATGTGCCTCTCAGTCAGTTGAGGACGTTTTACTGGTCTTCTGGCGTTATAACCAGCCGCTCTGAGGCGACGCCTTACGGTCATCGTCGAGAGTCTCTGATGAGTAATCCACTGCAGTCTTAAATCTGTTGAAGTGGCAAATGGATTTCGTCTGACTATCCTGGAAAGATGTCTTTCCTCTCTGTTAGAGGTCTTTCTTGGTCTACCAGACCTATGCCTGTCATTGACATCATTGGTTTGACCATGTTTGAGAATCAAACGAGTGATAACACTGTGATGACGACCCATTTGGCCCTGCATGACATGCCAGCATTTTTCATGCCTATCACTTGCCATCTTTCAGCGTTCGTTAACTTTCTCCTCACCATGGCTGATTTTCAACCTCGATTTGAAGGGGAATCACACACAGGAGCAAAACGCAACCTCGTGTCTGAAACTTGAATTTCACTATTTATGGGGTAGGGGAACTGCAGCAACACGTAAAGCACGCTTTCCTTGTGGTATCTGGACAAATTTGGGTTCATGAAACTATGGAAGCCTAATTCAGTCATACATCATCATATTTCGTATTTCTGATTCCCACACGTGAAATCAAGAGACTATGAGTATGGTGGCGCTTAACTTTTGTGCATGTGTATATATACAGTGAAAATACGGACATCCTTTGCAGTCACAGAAGGAAGAGAAACACTGGTGTGTGGAGGTCAATACCATTTATTGCCTTGAAACATATCTTTTATACGGGATGTTTGATGAATAAATGATGTAAACTTGATACACGCATAACGCAAACATTGGGGCATGTTTTTCGGTAAATTTAACCGTTTCAATGTGTCTCACAATTTAGTCTTGTTTTGTTATTATGCAATTTATCTGACAACAGTGCTATACATGTCTCGTTATACGAGTTATCGTTACAAGAACGTTCTCAACATATCCTTCACAGGTTGTATTGCGTTTGCATATTATCATGCATTAAATCATTCTATCTTATTTCCTTTCATTAAATTGTTCAGTTGTCATCAATACTTACGGTGGGATCAACTCTGATTTTCTGGAACTCCGTGATTCCATCATGTCCAACACCGGTACCTTGGAGATACGGCTTTTCACTTGTACACATAGGGTTGGACCTTTTAGGAAATTCGCCAAAGTTCCTGTGTGGCAATGTGACGTACTCAAACTGATGCGTGTCGTTCATCAAGCAGTAGACCCTCACCGTCAGGTCCTGGAACTGGGTTGCGGTGGGGTAGATGTAGTACTCGCCGTCGGACGCTGTCGGGTCATTCACCTTGATGGCAGAGCATGAGTTAGGGGCTGAAAAGAAATGACAGTTCAAAAATAATTTGAACACTTGATAGATGTGAGTTGTTTGACATTAGCAGGGTAATAATCATTTGACAATTGTCGTGTGTTTGTCGTGTGACACTGGGTGGGTGTTAGTAATTTGACACTGGGTGATTGTTAGTATTATGAAACTATTGTGAGTTAGTTCAATTCCCGTAAACTTGAATATACGTGAAGCACACCATTAACGTCGGCGGCATGTCAAGTAGAAAAAGCCCTAATGCCATCCTTTGCTTTAAATAATGAGGGACATAATGTACCAAGTGACAACTAGGCCCTTTTTCCCTCTGACATGACACTTTTACTGCTCATTTAGTGCCACTTAAGAAGTGATTTGGGCCATGATATATGTATTGTTGTTTCCTACATATGAGTTATGCTTCTCTTCCGATTGTTAACACCAAATAACAAAATTTGCGTATCAGACGTCACATTTACAAAATTATGAAATAATGACAAGGATAAACTAAAAGCGCGTTATAGAAACAAATTACTTCACCTTTGGGGTTCCGACTGTACACAGCAAATAAACCAGTGACGTTTTCCACCAGGCCGCCATTGACAACAAGCGTGTACCTTCTGATGCACGTGCTTGAGGTGTCTGAAAACTGAAACTGGTCGCATGGCGTGTTCACCGCACAGGACCGAGCACATTCCAGAAGGCTTGAGACTTGCTGAATCTGGAGGTGTTGTGGATTCCCCAGGGACGGTGGCACGCCATCATCCGTAATTACGAAATTAATCCCTTTGAAACAAAGTACGCTTTGCAAAACATGACACAAAATCATGCAAAACAATCTCGTTTCCCAAATCAAGACTTGGTCTGACATCGTCAGGTTTGTTTTGAGAGTGTCCAGGAGAGAATCGCTCGTGTTAATATCCCAGTGGATATATTCCCAGAGGATGTGTTCCAAGTCACCATGCATGTACGATATTTACTCTGCAGCGAGAGACTTGAGTGCAACAGGCACCTTGTCCGCCACACAATACCACCCGTGTACTGCAATACTGTGTGTGAAAGAAAGAACTATACGGACCTTCAATCAATTTATGGTTCCATCCCCGTGAAACAGAAGTCTAATGTGTCCAAGCGAACACATTCAAAGGAGACATAAAATCTTAAATGGTCTCAGAAAGCAATAACGTTGTATGAATGTTGAATGAGGTTTGAGACACATGAATAGACACTGCCCCGTGGGGACCAAAGGTTTGGAAATACGTCAGTATACCCAGTAACCCATGCGTGTCGTAATAGGCTCACGAAAATGAAGATCGGGCGGTCACTTAGTGTGCCCGATAATACGCATCGGTGCTCATGCTGTCAACCACTGATGTGTGGACTCCAGCCTGTTTTATATATCGGCCGCCATGATATAGCTGGAATATCTGTTTGTTTGTTTGTTTGTTTGTTTGTTGTTTAGGCCTCAATATAGTCCAGCTCTGTGACGGTGGTCTGTAAATAAACGCGTCTGGACCAGACAATCCAGTGATTGATATCATGAACATAGATCTACGCAATTGAGATACGATGGCAGCAAGCCTGACCACCCGAATCCTATGTATGCATGTCATCGTTTTCCGGTTTAGTTGAAAGATGTTCATGATGACACTCACTGGATTGTCTGGTCAAGAATCGACTATTTACAGACTGCCGTCGTGTTGTTGGAATACTGTTCAACAACAACAAATAATCTTTCCCTTGGCGATTCGTATAGTAAGTGTTCTATCATCCGTTCACGAACACTTTATCATTTATGATAAACTTAGGATTAACATTGGTTTAGGTTACTTCTGAATATCAAAACATTTACTTCCCAGTACTTTTGATTTGCAAAGAATGAAGACATGTACTCCCACTCACATCAGTTTCAGATGAAGCACATGCCCGCGAGACATTTACTCACTATAGTATACAGCCCTGGTATGGATTGTCATCGCTAAAAGACTGATGACTTTCACACAAAACAGTGTTTACTCTTTGCACAATCATTACGTTTTTACTTTCAAAGTTAATTTGCTGGGTTGTTTAGCCCCACGTATAACTGACAGAGGCAGTTGAGAAGTGTCTCGCTAACTAAATAAGTAGTTTGTTGACGATATTGATTACTGATTGAGTAAGCTTTAATCTAACGTCATATCGGCAATATTTCAGCCGTATCGTGACCACACAAAATTTTACATGTGATTACTTTCCACGTCTATTGGTTTCACGTTGTGCCAAGGAATTGTATTACTCGTGACCAACTCGTAAATGACAACGGTACTTGTTAGTGTGTAATAAGTATCGCTTTCCGTGTTGATATGTTGGAACCTTACTTTTCTAATGCCAGACATTCTTGTTATTTGAGATGATTAGAAATATCAATTTCGGAACTTCTTTGTTACCTGTATATATTTTATACAATTCAGTGTATGATGTTATATATTTTTACATAAAATAACATGACGCGTAATAACATGATACGTAATTTTGTGTGCATTTCAGTGTTTTGTGTATGAAAATGACCGTCCGGTTCCGGAAACTGAATTTCCGGATATACGGGTAAATTATTTCGTTTTGAATGAAATTCGTCCGCGAACCGAGGTTTCCGGATATCTGAAGTCCGTATAAGCGGGGCATGACTGTACCATACTTTTTCGATGTAGGTTACATACTTATACGGCAGACAGCACATTATAGTTGGCTGGTCAGGATACAGGTGCACGATATGATGGTAACAACCAGCTGGCTACATTTGCCATGCTTTTGAGGGTCATCATTATCTTAGTGTGAAGCTAAAACATAACAGCACATTAGTGGAAATTGTTCTACTCAAAATAGAAAGACATATTAACTGGATATTATTCATTAGCGATTCGTTCCATTTTCTGTCAAACTGTCTTATTGTATTGCTTTAGTGTGCAATTGATTTCTCTATTTAAAATATATCGATTACAGTCTTCATACAGTTTTCAAGTGACAATTTGTTTTTCTTCACATGATGCATGTATATATTTTTGCATGCCAGCATGATGTGATAGTACTTCACCAATGTTTGAGGAGATATTTTTGAGTTGTCCATAAAACGTTCCCCAAGCAGCTCTCCAGTAAGGGTTAACTGAATGTTTACATTCTTCAATATTGACCCCATGTAGGAATATGTTTTTAGTGGAAAGAACTGGCAATTTTAGAGAATGTATAAAAGACGTTAGGTCTATGATTCCCAGCCCGCTTTCATCATATTTTCTTATCAATGTTGTTCGCCTTATTTCATCCCTTTTATCCCTCCAGATCAATCTGTGAAATATTTTGTTTAGTTCATCAGTAAATTAACTTGTGGGGTTCGGAAGAGAGGAAAATATATGTACTTAGGTTGACAGGGTCAAGGTTGTGACGACAGTAAATTCTGTTTTTCAATGTTACTCCTAACACCGTTAAATCATGTTTCTCTCACACGGTGAAATCATGTTTCTCCTTACACATTGAAATCATGTTTCTCCTCACACGGTGAAATCATGTTTCTCCTTACACAGTGAAATCATGTTTTTCCTTACGCAGTGGGGGCGGTCGGGTAGCCAAGTGGTTAAAGCGTTTGCTCGTCACGCCGAAGACCCGGGTTCGATTCCCGACATGGGTATAATGTGTGAAGCCCATTTCTGGTGTCCCCCGCCGTGATATTGCTGGAATATTGCTAAAAGCGGAATAAAACCATACCCACTCACTCACTCACTCACTCACTTCAAGCAGTGCCAAAATATTGTCATTTTTTCAGACTAGTGCTTGCCTTGTGTTTGGCATGGAAATATTCCTACCTTGTCTTTACCGGTTTGGAGATTGACGAGACCTCGTAATTTCGCAAAAATATAAATTACTAAGGGCCGGTAACTCCGCATAGAGGAGGGGGGTAACCCTGCGGGAATCTAACAGACCTCTAGTGACATCGGACTCTCTTAAAATGCAGCATTCACCCTTAATAAACACCATGTATAGAAGGGTCTCCAATTGGCATGCCCCCGCTAAGTGAACCGGAGACGTCAGTCCGCGCCCTGTAGAATCTAAGGAGATGGAACTCAGACTACGAGTAGAGTTTGGGAGTACATTTGGACCATTTCAACCAATTCCTTACTAAGATTCTTCATTGATATCTGATGCTGATTCGGCGTTGACATTCAACATTTTCACAACTTTCAAATTCAACCCCAAATCAAAGCCATTTGTGATTTCTGATGTTGACTCAACGTCTAACTTTCCACATCATAACAACGTTCAAATCCAGCAAAAACAATGTCATTTCAATGTTGTAGTACGCCCTTGATTCGACATTGTCGGGAACAAAGATAAGTTAATGTATTCTCTTCAAATGGTCCTGTCACGAACGTTTTGTTGTGTAAATGAATCGAGTATAATGTCAAGGACGATGGCAAGGGAAGTACAAGTGCACGCATTCCCAGTCTCGCTCTTTGATTAATTGATGAAAACGTACATGAGATCTCTCCCTGTGGCGTCAGTATCGCACAAGCCGATTAGGATGGGAATCAGGTGTGACCTGGTCAGTTGTATGTCAACTTATCTCTCGTGTGTGTGGGCGTAAGGATGATCGCGTGGATGGGGGAAGTTCGGTGGGGGTGGGGAGTGAGGGGGTGTCTGTGTGTGTGGAGTGAGGACGGATGGTCCAGTAGTCTCTGTGCAGGGTCGCCACACTTATGTTTCTAGGTTTGTCAGCACCATACCCGTGCTCATGGCTTTCACGAAAGTGGTAATCGTCCGAGACCTGCATTACTTCGGGTTTTCCTCCCACGTTACGCTGACACGCCGGGAAAACTGGAATACAATTATATGCTGTAATACTGGAAACACTGCATGCAAACATGATACAGCTCACGCAAACACGTACTATCGCACTCACTCCCTCACACACGTGCCAATACTCGTGAACTTTCTATGGTATTTGATCTCGTTTCGTAAAAAATGGTATGAGAATGAGTGTAGTTTTCCATGAGTATCGCTAAGGAGTTGCGGACCTTTGTCGTGTCAGAATCCAAGATTCGTCCTGTTTATGATTCAAGGGTCAGCAGCACCATACGCTTTCGGCATTCTTCCTACATAAAGCTGACACGACGAAATATTTTGATTTATGTTTAAAGCGGGGTTAAATGACCTATCTCACTCACTCCTGCCTTCCGCAAGAGGCTAACACTGAGTGAATTCTGTATGAGTATAAATAGAGCTTTGATTAATGACAGAATACCACCCAGCTCCGACTTGGCTGTTTGTGCGTGTCATTGTGCCCAGACAAGCTCACACTATCAACCACTTGTTTGACCAGACTGGATTCCTAACCTGGTTCTGCGGCTGACCATGACGTTAATGAAGATTGAACTACTAGAGTTGCCTCCCCTAGCTTCCGAGATCCGCTGAAATTGGGTATGAATCCAAGATCCTTCCCCCTTCGAGGGCTTCATCAAATTGATACCGCCTGATACAGCCATCACGTCCCCCGCGCCGACACGCTGCGGTGTACATGTAAGTACTGTTGTACAGTGCACGGAGACGCTACACACAACGCATTCATTCCCTCCGACACAAAGCAATGCCCGATAGAACAACGCATTAGCAGTCCCAGGACAATTCAATATGTTACATTGCTTTAACGAACCTAAATTGATTACGCTTTGCTTGTTTGCATTGAGACATATATCACTCGCGTAATTATTCATGCTGTTTGGGGTAAATTAAGCACAGAGGCTGAAAACACAAGACAGATGACGACGGTTAAACATACATGATCCAAAGACCACGAATCCCGCTGGATTAAAGAGACTCGGGGGCTCCCAGCACGTGGATTACAAG